AAAGCCTATTCAGGAAAGCCAACAAAGGGGATGGCCAAGAGACTGTTTGCTAAGATCAGTAGATTTCTATCAAGACACTGGCAGAAAGACCCCTGAAGGTATTTCAGAAATCTTAGTGGCTGCTCCTTCCTCCAAAGGCCCAGAGTTCTAGGGCAGAATGTTTCGGGAGATGGGCTCCAGGCACCCTCCAAAGGCTCACTGCTCAAGGCTGCCTCAGGACTCTGCTCCCTGCATGCCAGTGTAGCACCCCTCAGCTGCCCCAGCTGTGGCTTGAGTGGGCCCAAGTGCAGCTCAGGTCACCATTCTGGAGGGCACAAGTGGTTAGCCTTGGTGGCATAAGCATGGTGTTATCTGCAGGTGTGCAGAATGCAAGAGTTGTGAAGCATGGCTACCTTCACCTGGATTCAAAGGATGTTGTGGATAGCCCGAGGGCCCAGGCAGAAACTTGCCTCCAGAGCAAAGCCACTGCAGAGATGCCTACTAGGGCAATGCCTAGTGGAGCCATGGGAACAAGGCCACCAGTCTCCACTAGGGTAATGCCTGGTGGAGCTGTGGGAACAGAACCACCACTGAGTCCCCAGAACTGTAGAGCTACTAGTGTGCAACTCCAATCTAAGAGGGGTGGGGCTGCCTGAGGCCTTGCGGGATCAACACCAGGGTGTCTGGGATTTGGGACATTGAATCAAAGATTATTCTCCAGCTTTAAGATAAAATTTTGTTCACCCTGTGGGTTCTTGGACTTACTTGGGACCAGTTACCCCTCTTGCCTTGTCTGTGTCTCCCTTTTTGGATTGAAATGCCTATCCGAGTGTCCCACTACTGTATTTTGGAAGTAGATAACTTGTTTCATTTCATAGGCTCACAGTGGGAGGACTCTGCCTCAGGATGAATTGTGCCCTGAGTTCCACTCATATCTAATTTAAATGAAACTCTGGACTTTTGAGTTGATGCTGGATCAAGTTAAGACTTTTGGGGATATTGAGGTAGAATGAATGCATTTTGTGAGAAGGGTATGAGACTGTGGGGCCAGAGGCAGAATGCTATGGTTTGAATGTCCCCTCCAAATCTCATGTTGAAATTTTATTGCCATTGTAATAGTTTTAAGAGGTGGGGCCTTTAAAAGGTAATTAGGCCATGAGGGCTTGGCCCTCATGAATGGATTAATGCCATTATCTCAGGAGTAGGTTCCTGATAAAAGGATAAGTCTGGAACCATTTTCTCTCTGGTGTGTGCTCTCTTGCCACATGATGCCTTCTGCTATGGGATGGTGTTGGTCAAATGTTGGCATCATGCTCTTGGATTTACCAGCCTCCAGAACCATGAGCCAAGTAAACTTCTGTTCTTTACAAATTACTCAAGTCTGTGGAATTCTGCTATAGCAACAGCAAACAGACGAAGACACACCATATAAAAACTAACTCAAAATAAATCAAAGACCAAAATGTAAGAGCAAAAATTATAAAACTATTAGAAGAAAACACCGGGGTAAATCTTCATGACCTCAGATTTACCTAAGGATTTCTAGATATGACACCAAAAGCATGAAGAACAGAAAAAATAGGTAAGTTGGGCCTTATGAAAATTTAAAACTTTGGTGGTTCAAAGGACACCATCAAGAAAGTGAAAATACAGCCCACAGAATGGGAGAAAATATTTGGAAGTCATATATTTGATAAGGCATTTATATTTAGAACATACACAGGGTTCTTTCAACTCAATAATAAAAAACAAATTTAAACATGGGCAAAGTATCTGAATAGATTTCTCCAAAAAAGACATGCAAATGGCCCAAACTCATGAAAAAATGCTCAATATCACCTCATATCCAAAACATGGGTAGAATAAAACTCAGATTACAAGTGTTGTTGAAGATGTAGAGATTGGAACCCTGATACACTGCTGGTGGGACAGTAACATGGGTGCTGCCACTTTAGAAAACGGGCTGGCAGTTCCTCAAATGACTGAACAGTTACCATAAGCCCCAGCAATTCCACTGCTAGGTATAAAACCAAGAGAAATGAAAATGTATGTCTATACACAAACTTGTATATCAGTATTTACAACAGCATTATTCATATAGCCAAAGGTGGAAACAATCCTAATATCCATCAATGGATGAATAAACAAAATGTGCTACAAACATACAATGGAATATTATTCAGCCAAAAAAGGAATGAATACTGATACGTTACAACATGGATGAACTATGAAAACATGCTCAGTAAAAATAGCCAGTCACCAAATGCCACATCTTGTATGAACCCATTCATATGAAAGTTCAGAATAGGGATATCTATAGGGACAAGAGGATTAGTAGTTGCTTACGGCTGGGGGCAGGCAGTAAGGGGATAGGGAGGTGATAGCTAAAGGGTGCATGGTTTCTTTATGAGGCGATGAAAATGTTCAAAAATTGATTGTGGCGTTGGTTGCATGTATCTGTGAAGAGGCTAAAAACCATTGAATTATACATTTTAAATAGGGGAACTGTATGGCATGTGAATTATACTTTAATAAAGCTGTTAAAAATAAAAGAAATAAAAGGCATACACCAGCCCTGCCATTTCTCCCGTATACTTTAAATCATCTCTAGATTACTTAAAATACCTAATACGGTGTAAACGCTATGTAAATAGTTATAATGTATACTTTTAAAAATTGGTGTATTTTTGTTGTTGCTGTATTTTTCAGTCCAGGGTAGGCTGAATCTGTTATGTGGAACCCAAGGACAGAGAGGGCTGACTGTATTGTGCTCATGCATTGAAGATTCAACAGGAAAGATGTTGAGTTACCCCACATTGATCTACAGGTTCAATGAAATTCCTATTAGAATCCCAGTGAGGTTTTTTTTTGCAGACATAGACAAGCTTAGGAGGATCTAGTCAACTCTACCCAATAGAAAAACCTACCTTATAGCTACAGTAATCAAGAGCATGTGACATTGGCAGACAGACAGATAACAGATCAATGGCACAGAACAGAAAACCCAGAGATAGACCCACACAAACATGCCTAACTTTTCACAGAAATGTAAAAGCAACAAGTGGGAGAGGATAACCTTTTCAGTAAGTTTTTGGAGCCACTGACATTTAGGAGCAAAAACAAAAAACCTCAATTTAAGTCTCACCAACTATGCAAATAACTCCCTCTATTTGAAGAGAAACTCTTCAAGAAAATTTCTTTAAAATTGGCTGGGCGTGGTGGCTCACGCCTGCAATGCTAACACTCTGGGAGGCCGAGGTGGGAAGGTCGCTTGAGCTCAGGAGTTTGAGACGAGCATGAACAAGAGTGAGACCCCGTCTCTACTAAAAATAGAAAAATTAGCCAGGCATGGTGGTGGCATGCACCTGTAGTCCCAGCTGTTGAAGATGAACTGGATTCTTCACACCCTGCTGATGTGAATGTATTATAAAGTGGTACAGTCACTCTGGAAAACAGCTTGGTAGTTCCTGAAAAAAAAAAGCTCGACATATAAACTCCGTATGACCTGGCAGTTGCACTCCTAGGCATATTTAGCCCAGAGAAATGAAAACTTACACAGAAGCCTGGCCACAGGTTTTCTGGCTACTCTATCAGTAATAGCTGAAAAACAGATGTCTGTCAGTGGGTGAGTAAATGGGTGTTACAGCCACACCCTGGAATAAAAAGCAACACGGCGCTAAGAGCAATAAAAAGGAACTACTGGCGCACGCAATCTGATTGAGAATTCAAATTCCCAGAGAATTATGCCAAGTGAAGAAATCCAATTATTGAAGTCCATATGCTGTGATTCCCTCTATGTAACATTCTTAGAATGACAAAATAATAGAACAGAGAAGCCTGGCGGTGGTGACGGACAAGGGGAGGTGTGAGGATAAAGGGCAAGGTGAGGGGACCTTGTAGAGACTGGAATGTTCTTGACAACAGCTTGACTTCTGTTCAGGTCAGTATCCAGGTGTGACTTGCACCTACTCTGAAATTGAGGGAATCACTGGACTGTCTCTTACAACTGCACGGCAACTCATGATTGTCTCAAAATAAAAGTCAGGGGACCCAACCAGTGAACAGGATGAGCTTTTATTTCCTCACACACCCAGCCCTCCCCAACTGGCTCTTGCAGCTCCTTGGCCTTGTCCCCGCAGACCCTGTGCTGCCACACCCCAGGGACTTGTCCTCACTGTCCCTTCACTTCGGGATGCTCTTTCCTCCTTCTGAAGCCATCTCTGGCTGCTCTTTCCCCTTGCGCTGGTTTAGGGTCACTCAGCTGTGGTAACAGGCATGAGCACAGGCTGTTGCCTGTGCAAATGACAAGGACTGTGCTCACCTGTGCTGAAGGCTCCCAGCGCACCTGGCACAGAACTACTGTAATGCTTGGGAGAGTGGACAGGCTTCAAACAGAGGAGGGCCTAGGCTTGCTCTTTGTGAGGGAATGGCCTGGGGTGGCAGGAGGGCGGCAGGCTCCTCTGCTCTCAGCCCCACCCCCACTGCACCCCCTCTACCCGGTACTGTTGGAGGCGACCCACAGTTCCCCGGCTCCCTTTTAGGCAGGTTCTGCCAATGGGAATCTCTAACAAGAGGCTGGAACCCTGTCGTTTTCTAGCATCTGACAGCCCCTGCAGCAGCAAAGAGGCCTCCAGGGCCCCATCTGGGCAAATGGTTCCTGCCACGGCAGCACATGGCACTGGTCCAGGCGACAAGGTCAGGGATGGGGTCTAGCTCCGCTGCAGCGTCAGCTGAGTGGGATTCTCTCCTCTCCCAGAGCGTCCCAAGTGCCCTCCCAGCCCTCACGTTACTCGTCGCTCCAGGCTGTCCAGGTCCCTTCCATCTACCTAGGTGCAAGATGACGGATGGGTAGGGTGCCCAGGGGGAGGCAGAAGCTGGGAGAGACGGGCAGCTGAAGATCTGGGTCCATCCCTAAAGCCAGCCCTCTTCTGCTGAGGGGCAGGGGAGTGCAAGGGCAGAGCCGCGGAGAGCCACAGCAGCTCCCCAGTGCGTATGAACGGGAGGGTGAGAGCGAGGGGGCGGGGTGACAAAGCCCGGGAAGCCTCCTGGTGTCCAACACCAAAATTAAAGATTTATTACCCATAAGAGGACACTCTGTCCCTCAGAGCTGCTGGCCACCGTCCCCATTCTGGCCAAGGTCCTGCACTGAGAAGGTTTGTCAAGGGTGACACCTCTTGCATGCCCAGTGCCCACGGCTAGGCCTTCGGGCGGAGTCAGCCCCCTGGCCGTGCAGGTCACTTGGCCAGCTCCTCCGCCACTGCTTTGCGCATCTTGTCCTTGAGGTAGGCTCCTCTCTGCCATTCAGACTTGAGTTCCAGCCACTCATAGTACGGGACCTGGAAGGAGGAGGAGATAGGTCACGGGGGTGGGGAGACCCCCTCCAGCCCCTGCCTGGCCAGTGGCTCCGCCCACTGCCCTCACATTGACCCCTCATCTGCCAGCACTTGCTGGTGACCAAAAGCTCTGCACACCTACCCCTCAGCCTCCAAGCCCTCAAGGCAGAGCCCACGAAGCTGCGCGCAGTGTGGGCCGTTAGAGGCTCTGGCACTGACAATGCCAGAGAGGTCTGCGAACTACACAGGGCCTAAGAAGGGCTTCTAAATTTCAAACCATTGTTAAAAAAATCCTACAACAACCCAAAGAAGAAAATGTGGCAGAACTCTTGTGTGGCCCACAAAGCCACAAATTTATTCTCTGGCCCTCCTCAGGGAAGTTGCCATCCTTTCGGTTTTGGCTAAGGTCTCCCAGGTGTGAGCCTGCAGTCAGGCCGGGGACCTGTGTCTTTCTGCTCCTGGATCAGATCGCAGTAAGCAGCTCTGTGCCAGCCATGACACTGGACTGGGGCACCCTGCTGGTCCTCCCTTTTCTGAGAACAGGCCCCGACCAAGGAGGCATAGCAGCAGCCCTCGCAGCTCTGCTTGGATGCTCAAGAGCCATGTGGCCTGCCCAAGCTTCCTAAGCCTCATCTGTGAAGGGATTCAACCCTGACTACCTCCAAAGCTGAACCTACAGGCTTGGCGGCCTTTCTGGATGCACCTATGGAGGTCAAGCACTAGGTCCTCTGTGAGAGGCTGGGAAGGGAATAGGGGAGACAGAAATAGCCAGGATCCAAGGGAAAACTCCCACCCCAGGCTCCTAGGAGAGGGGCTGGGGGCCACGGGCCAGGCCCCTGTAGGTACCCTTCTGGCTCTAGGCCTGGCTTCGATTCCACCTGGTCCCCACTGCCCAAGCAATGACCACCTGACCAACAGGTACTCACGTCCACCACCAGGAAGCCTGCAGCCAGCACATGTCGCCGGGCCAAGACAAAGCGACCCAGCAAGTCCTTGCTTCGGCTGTTGAAGTTGGGGAACTCCCACCGCAGGAAAGCTATCCTGGCAGGGAGAAGGGGAGGCTGACTAGCATCCACTCTCCCAGCCTCTCAGAGCGGGGAAGGGGAAAAGCAGAGAAAAGAGCCATGTGTGTGCAGCCCAGGAGCAGTAGAGCCACCATGGCCTTCGGAGGGCCCCCAACAAGCAGATCCCTGGCCACTTACCTCTTAGCCCCTGGGGGCAGTGGCTGGCTCCCTGCTGGCTGGGCAAGGTGAGGTGCCACGAAGTCCCTCAGGGGCAGAAACTGGCCATCAGCATCCAATAGTACCTCGGCATCTGGGGAAGGGGTGTGGGATGAGAGCATGTTGGGGGCTGTCCCTCAGAGACCCCCCCATGGGAAGGATGGACAGAGATGGGGTGTATGTGGGGGGAGCCCCAGTTGATGCCCTGCAGCTCTCGGTCAGTCCTTGCTGCAAAAGGGGCAGGGTCAGAACAGTCCTGTTAAGATTCAGGCAGAATCAGGCCCCACACCACCTGGGGGGTGGACCCTCACCCAGCACCCAGCCGTACTGCGTGGCCACCTCGAAGCTGCCCCTGTCGACGCTCCCCAGCAGCCCCTTCAGAGTCTCCTGCAGCTCCTTCTGCAGGGGGGTCACCTTCTTGTCAGGGACTGAGGGCCTTGGGGCCACAGCTGAGGCCGGCAGAAAAGGACCGGTGTACTCGGGGTGCTCCAGCCGGGCAGTAGCGTTGATGTGGAGCAGCTTCCGAAAGGCGCTCTGATCCTTTGGAGACTCGCCCCCTAGGGGATGCGGACAGTGAGAAGGGTGGGGTGGGCCACAGCCCAGGAGGGCCGAGATGCGAAGCAGCAGCACCCCCAGCCCCAGCCCAGTTCCCTGGGTCAGGAGGCAGCAGAGAGAAGGTCCTGCTGGCCACCTGCAGGGAATGAATGGGCAATGAGTGAAGGCGGGGTGAGCGGCCCTGGTCTTCTCCCGTCTCTGCTCCAACTCTTCACCTGGCTCTAGGCACAGACCAGGCAGCCCCCCAGCTACAGCAATGCGGGGTGGTAGGGCTCACCTAAAAATTGGGTGTGAAATTCAGGGCAGAGGACGGCTCGCAGCTCCTCTTTCCTTGCCTGCTGCAGCACACACAGGGCCCACACCAGGTCCACCTGCAGGGCTGGCTCCAGGCCTGTCAGTGCCGGCCCCACCCTCTCGTGTACCTAGGAAAGGATATAGTGTGGTAGAGAAAGCAGGCTTTGCCCAAGGGCTGCAAATAGCCACAGGCAGACCAGAGTCCATGATGTGGTCTTGACCTGGTCACACTGAGGCCAGAGGAGGCTACTGGGCAGTAAGAGGTAGAATCCTGGCCTTTGGTCAGGCCTGGAGCAACCCCGGGCTTGAAGGTACCAGGAACCTTTCTCTTACCGTAACACTGCTCTGGACAGCAGGAAGAGTGCTGCCTGCCAGCATTTAACTAGGTTTACCTATATCCTGCCCACTGGCAGGGGCCTAAGGCACAAAATCTCTTCTCTAATAATGTCCCCAAGTGTGAACACGGGACAGGGAAGAGGTGTCTCTGGTCCTCTAGGAGGATCAGAGCATCTAAGAGGTGAAACAGGCCCACACCCCCACCCCCTTCCACAGGCCGTTCTCAGCACTGAGCCAGGCAAGCTCCTGTTGGAGTCCGGGGGTCAGACGTGGTCTACTGGCCTCTGCAAGCACCATGGAGGTCTCCATGAAGAATGTGCCCCCTACCGCCCTAAGCTTGTTCTGTTTAGCATGCCCACCTCATGCCCACCCAGCAGGTCTCTGGAGTCCCTGAAGCTTCTGAGCTCTAGCAGGGCATTAAAAGGACCATCAGGAAATGAGATGCAGGCTCTCCCAGCCCTGCCTGGTAGGGGAGTCAACTGGATGCCATGACAGGACTTCGTGTGTGTTCTCAAATGAACCCCAGGATGCCTGGCTCCTCCTGCCCTCCCAGGCCAGGCCTTCTTGCTTCCTGCCTTAGTACCTGGGACTCCCAGGCCAGGCACCGCAGCCTCTTCCCTTCCACCCAGCCCAAGCTGCTTCTGGGAGGATGGCTGATGAGCCATTAGCTGGCATGGGAGAGGGTAAGGGATGGGGAGTGGGAGCCCAGAGACCGTACCAGGCTGAAGAACTGATCCTCTTGTTCCGGATGGAAGTTTAGACGGGCAAAAGCCAGCAGCATGCTGCACAGGTGGGGCAGGATGGTGTCCTGGGCTCTGTTCAGGATGTGCTGGGCAGGTCAGCAACAGGAGAGGGACAGGATAAGCACTCTGCCCAGGATGCTGTCCTCCCACCCAGCTCTGAATCTGAGGGGAGCCTGGGTGGCCAGGGGCGACTGCAGGACCCTCCATCCAGGGCCCACAAGCTGCTGGCTACATGGCGTGGTTTCCACAGGGCCAGACCCTTCACCCAGCAGCAACTACCCAGAGGACAGGGATACCTAGAAACTGCCTCCTTCTGACAATGGCTTTAGAAATGCTCCACAACCAGTACACTGAGTTAAAACAGTCGCTTGTAAACATAAGGGCAGGCATCATCTTTCCTTACAATTCCATTTTGGGGCAGTAAACAGTTCAGCAGGGAGTTCTGAGTCAATCTCAGCCTCACTATCTACGCCGTTACCTGCTACAGCTACTCCAAGATGGATGGAAACACTTACGATGGTCAGTGAAAAAACAGGAAAGAATTCTCAAATATGTTTTTTCCACCATTGAATAATCTCTTTCCAAATAAGCCAAGAAGAAATATGTATTTTTTTAAAAACAGTTATATTATTATTATTTTTTAAGACAGAGTCTCGCTCTGCTGTCCCAGCTAGAGTGCAGTGGCGTCATCATAGCTCACAGCAACCTCAAACTCCTGGGCTCAAGCGATCTTCCTGCCTCGGCCTCCCAAGTAGCTGTGACTATAGGCAGATGCCACTACAGGCAGATGTGCAGCTATTTTTTCTATTTTTAGTAGAGACGGGGTCTTGCTCTTGCTCAGGCTGGTCTTGAACTCCTGACCTCAAGCAATCCTCCCACCTTGGCCTCCCAGAGTGCTAGCATTATAGGCATGAGCCACCACACCTGGCCAGAAGTATGTATTTGCCACCTACAAGTGAGCATTTTTAGACTGGCTTTTCTTCCTTGATTAAAGCAATAGTTCTCAATGGATGCCCAGGGAGTCAGCTCCTCCAAGTTGGGGCCAGACATGGAGAGAGCCCCCCAGAGCCCAGCTGTCCTCAGTGGTGTGGACCTGGCTGGCCAGACCTCCAACTGGAGTAGGCCCTGGCTCACCTGGGTAAAGGCCTCAAACAGAGGCAGGTTGAGCCACTTGAGGAAGGCGAAGGACTTGGCGCAGTGGGCCACCTCACTGGGTGTAAGGCTGGGCATGAGAGACAGCAGGTCGGCAGCCAGGCGCTGGGACACTTGGGTCTGGTGAAAGCTGAGCTTGCCTTTGGGACAGAGCAGATCACAGGGTTTAGCTGAGGAGGGTCAGCGGTTGCCAGCCAGCCCCACTCTACATTAGCCTTGAGGTCTAGAAGGTTGATGTCTGTAACCAAATTTATCCCTGAGCCTGAGACACAGGAACAGGGCCCATGGGTCACAGTGTTTCTGTGGCAGCCTTCTGGGCCAGTGTCTACCATAGGTAGGGCAGGCACCGAATTTGACACAGCTGCAGGCGCCTATAGACCTGAGTTCCCTCCCTCTGCTGTTCTGTCCAAAGAACTCACCGTAGGCATAGGCCAGGTCCAAGAGCACACTTTTTGTCAGAGGGAAGGGCTTCTGCACAAGGTGGTAGGAGATGGCCCGCAGCAAGGGCACAGACCGCCGGCTCTGAGCTGCCAGTGTCATCAGCACCTTCCGCAGCTCATTGGGGCCAAATTGCTCCACCAACTCCAGGCACTGTCAACCACAGCCGCGTAGGGGTCAGCTGAATGGCCTGAGGTGGCAGGGACGAGCTGGGGGCAGGGGTCCCATCCAGTGCAGCCCCTGCGAGACAGCAACTGGGCCTCAGCTGACTAAACACAGGCCCGTCTGTGCAGGGCCTGCCTCCTTGCCCGCCCCAGGGAACCCCTGAACTTGGAGCACAATGTCCGCAGCCAAACTTATCCCCAGGTCCCAGGGGCAGGGGACCCAGGGCCCATGAGCTGTGGAGCTTGCTGTGGCAGTCATCTGGGCCAGCCCCCACTATGACAGGAACGGGGGCTGAATTTGACTCGACTGCAGGGCTAAAGCCAAGAGAGGGGGTTCCATATCTCTAGGAATGTTCTAGGCAGAAGCTGGGCCATGCACGGGCTGGCCTAGGCTTGGCCAGCACCTCTGCGTAACTTTAGGAGTTACCGGCCATGCCTACTCCTCACGATCATGCTCCTGATGGGATTTTGGAAAAAGATAAAGGTGCAATCAGGGAAGTGTTTGTGTTGGGAGGAGCAAGTGGGTAAGTGGTACTTGATTAACATGGCCAAGGAGCAACTACCTGCTGCTGCCCAGAGCCCTCTGGTCCCTCCTCATGTGATGCCTTAGACTCTGTACGAAAGCTTCCAGGGCTCCTGTCCCGGTGCACACGACACCCCCCTCTGCAGAGGATTATCACCAAGGAACAACCCCAAAGCCCTGGGGAGGCAGGCCAGGGACCAGTACCTTGTCTTCCAGGCGGTTCATCAGTGACTCCGAGAGGTGTCCCACCTTCATCATGATGGCCACCACTGTGCGGCCATCTTCAATTTCTATCCAGCGCCTCTCCAGGTGCACGAGCAGATCAGCCAGCAGCTCCTGAGAGTACTGCTTCTGCATGGAGGTGGCACAGGACTCTGCCAGGAAGGCCAAGTGCTTGTAACTGAGCCTCCGCATGCGCCAGCGGATCTCCTGCTCTACTGACTGCAGCACCTTGGAGTCCCTGGGGAGTGCCAGAGCGTACAGGCTCCGCAGCAGCCTCACGAGGGTCCCATGCCAGAGCAAAGTTATCTAGGCGGGTAAAGGACACAGGGGAGGTTACCTGTGGCACCCTGTTGATCCTGTGTGTGAGCTGTAAGCTACCTCTGTGAACCTCCTGTCATGGGCTTTTGCTACAACTCTTCAGAGAAGACAAGAGTTAGTTCCCCATCCTGTTCTAACAGGTCCCCTGTGCTCAGAGCTCATGAGGGGCCTCACTCAGCCTTGAGTTCTAGAGACCTGATGTTTGTAACCAAATTTATCCCTGAGCCTGGGACACAGGAACAGGGCCCATGGGTCACAGTGCTTCTGTGGCAGCCATCCGGGCCAGTGCCTACTGTGAGTAGGGTAGACACCGAATTTGACACGGCTGCAGGCATCCACATGGCTAGAGCTCTCTTCAGGCACAGGCCAGGTCCAGGAGCATGCCTCTAAACCTGGTCCTCTAGCCTTGAACAAACTGAGTATTTTTGCTCGAGGTGCCCAGGGTCATTTGCTATTGTTTGCAAACGAGAACCCTAGGTGGTAAGAGAAATTCTCCAAGTTTCCCTAATGAAGATTTGACCTGAAGTGGCTGATTAAACGGAGACTACACCCTCTTGACACATGGTCCTCACTACAGCTGTGCGGTGGGCATGCAGACCTGAGCTGCAGATAAAGCTGTCAAAACTGGAGGTCAGAGAAAGAGTGGAGCCTGAGGGATGTGACCTGATGGCAAGGTTGGCTAGGATCAATTTTGTCACCAAGCTTATTTGCAATGACAATTAAAAACACCGACTTTGCTCTAGTAAAATAACTGTCACTTTCAGTCCGAGAAGCTCCAACCCCTAAACTTTTCTCCAACAAAACAATCCTAACAATTTCTGGGGATATGAAGTTTCTTAGGAATGCAACTGCTGCATGACACCTTTGCAGAGTAAGTGTGGGGACTGAGTGTACCACCACCTTGCCCTCAGCAGAGGCAGGTGCTCCTCATGCAGGAAGGGCCATAGGAAAGCTTTTGAGGTGTGGGTAAAAAGACCCCTGGTATCATTAAGCCCTGCCCATCCTCAAATGCTGAAGCCGCCTGGGGATGACCAAGCTGCCGCCACCACCAGAACCTCTGAACAGGCTCTAACTAAATTCCAGGCATCCTCCACACCCATACTCCCATAAGATGCCAACACCCTATGAGGTTATCATCAGCCCCACTGCACATATAAACAAAGGTCAATTTATTTTCCTGAAGTCTCGGGGCAGTTCTGGGTCCAGAACCTGCACCCCAGTCCCGCCTTCTCCGCTGGTGCCTGCTTTGTCTCTGAAGAAGCTGACTGCTGTGCAGGGAATGTGCCTCCAGGCCTCAGAGATGTGGGGCCCAAAATGTCAATGTGGGCAGCTCTTTGCCTGCTTGGATAGTGCTTCTCTTCTTCATCCCTTTGGCCCAGACCCCACCCTCACAGAAGACAGCAGATGGTAAAACAAGCATGACTGTCATTTTCTGTGCCAAGTCTCTCAATGCTGATCCCTCAGCCTCAGTCTCTTCACCTATGAACGGGGAATGGAAACCACTCGTATAAAGAGGTGAGCTGGGAACAGAGAAGCCGACGTCTGAAGAGTTGGGGAGGAAGGAGAAAATACTGAGTCAATTCCAGTCTCACATGAAGCCTGAGTGCCTGTACCTTTCTAGTTTCATGGACAGTAGGAAAATCGCTTAAAAGAAAGCTCTGTCATCATTTACACTGCAAATACTTGCCTTACAATTTTGTTAAAATGGTCAGTCATGTATTCCCAAGACTTGCTTCAATTATGTGTAAGAGAGTCAATCAACAACAAACAGAATTACACCCTAAGAACAAGAAGGTGCCTAAGTTCATTGTATGAGCTATATTCTCAGCCAAAAAAAAAAAATTTACCATGACTCTAGTACACACAATATATGGGTATAAACAAACACACTTAACAAAAACAAAAGTTCCATGACAGTATTCCCCTTACTACATGTGATGAACTCTAGTATTTTCCATACTACTCTACCTGATTAAAAAACAGTTGGCCAAGTCCCACTACACCAATTTTATAATAGGAACTTGAAAAACACATTTAGTGCAACCACTTCCTTGGATAGTACCTCTCTCTCCTCCTCATCACATTTGACAACTGGCCAGTTTCAGTGCCTGAGCACCTCTCTTCCAACACAGACCACAGAGGGAGGGCCAATTTGGCCAGAGCAGGAGTCTGTACTCCTTCTTTTTGCACATGGAGCCCAAGGGAAGAAGCTAAAATAGAGTCCTTCCTCACAGTGAGCAGAAACTGACTTCTATAGTCAGTTCTGGACCCCCAGTTGCCTCTCTCCCTGTTCACCCTCAGAGGGTCTGAACACGGCTAGATCATGCCCGTGCCTGTCTCAAGTTTCATGGACCTCCCATCAGTCACGCTGCATTTCCTCCAGCTTCGAGAATAGTGCCCAGCCATCAACCAGACATGGGAGGGTGGGCAATACAAGTCAAAACTGTATGGTGAGGGGGAAAGTATCCAAGGAACTGAGAGGAACCTGGCTCGCTTCCTACACTTCTATTACTGTGGGTCTTGGTTGCCTGTTTGTAAGACAAGGAGATAGCAATATTTGCCTAACAGGGTTCTTGTGAGGATAAACAGAGGGAAAGCACATCAAAGTACTCTGGAGGGCCCCTATCTACAGCTGGTAAGCACTGGCTGCTGTGGCCTCCAATGTCTCTGGTTATCTTCTTCTTGTCCAAGGCCTCAGGCAACACTAGCACCCACCTTACTGTTGGCCAGATGGAGAAGTTTCTGAAAGCGGTCATCCTGTATGAGTGAGGCCTTGTCTTCTGGCTTTTCAGACAGTAGTCGGGAGAGCTGTATGATTATGAGGGCTGCATGGTTGTGGTGTAAGTGGTGACCACTACCAAGTAGCTCCAGGAGCTCCTCTGGCGTGGTGGCCTTCTCAATAAGCTGGTCTACCTCTTGTTTCTCTGGGTAGGGAGTAAACACTTGTTCCTTCTCCACCAGCTCTGTCAAGGAACCTGAGAAGTGGGAACTGGGTGAGGTGGCCGAAGAAGTCAGAGTCTTATGGGCTACCCTAGCAAGTCTTAGTCTGCCAGCTGGAGCCATAGCAGGGGCCAAATGGGCAGCTTCTCTCAGGAGGCACGTGCATCGCTTCACTAGGCGAACTGCCATGGTGTCCTGCGTGGCAGAGAGTTAAGACTCCTAATAAGTGATTCAAAACCCTAAAGAGAAAAAGGAAAGAAAGTGTTGGTATAGGGGCAGTTCCTGACTCACAAACTTAAGAGAAAAACATGACAAATGAAATGAAATTATAGCCATCCTCTCTGTAAAATCAGCTTTAATCTTTCCCCTTTTTGACTACCCGTATGTATGTGACAGTATTTTCGGAAGGAAAAATCACAGGATTTTTGTTTCAGTACGGAATTCCATCAAATATCAAAACTCAGAAGCATTATAGCTTGGGTTGCAGAGTTTTCAGGCCTGGTTGTGCCTAGCAATGACCTAGGGAGTAGTTCAACAATTCAGATCCCTAGGTCCTGCCCAAGATCCCTGAATTGGAATCTCTGCAGATAGTGCTCAGACAAGATTAATTTTTTTTTTATTTCAAGGGTAACCATGATTAAGAATTACTGGATTACAGAGAAAAAGGGAAAGGTTAGTTTAAATCAAAATGATCCTGCAAAACCCAAAACATATAATTCACATTTCTAAAGTTTCTGTGGACATATTTTAACACTATAGACGTGGGAGTAAGCTTTCCTAAACCAAGGTAGATTATATCACTAACCTACTTCTAAAAAATCCGAAATACCACCTCCCCAGTCAAATTTTTAAGAGCAAAACTCCTGAACCAATAATAAGAAGCACTTCTCAACATGGCCCAGAATAATATTCCCAGTTCCGTCTCCTCTCTCACCCCACACACGCCCATTCTAATCAGGCCTCGTACTTCCACTCCACCTTGCAAGGCTTGCTACCTGGGTACCCCTCTCCCAATTATAGGGCCCTGAAAAACACACTTTATCTTTTCAAGCACAGACAAAATATTACCATCTCCAACGATGTTACATGGCCCTATGATGCTGCTTTTAACAATTCTACCAGCCAGTCTAGCTCACTAGGGTAATTAAATGACCTAGGCAAGACACGTGACAAAGGCAAAATAAAAAAACCTGGGCTTTACTTCTGCCAAAGCAGAAAGCACGTATGATCTCTATTTCCTGGAACTTGGTATATGGCTCGTACATTTTATTTTTACATGGGTGGATTACTGCAGCTGTAAAAAGCTAAGTCTAACTCTACATACAGGAAAAAAAAATGGGGAGTAAAGAGGAGGAATATTTGCCCAAAAGCAACATCTACCACTTCCTGAGCCCAAGGACAGTGGGGAAGCGCTGGAAAACCTTTCCGATTTTTAAGACAACCCTAAGAGCAGTTTAGAGTTGGAAACTGAAATCCAGAAACCGGACTTAAGTTTAGGCAAATACCAACCCGGAAGCTTGGTTCAAAGAGACAGAGAAATAACCTGCACGAAATTACGAAAACCGGTTCGCTGGGGACAAGCAGGGTCGATGGGGTCGGCGCCTTCCAGGGCGGGCCGCGCGGGCACAGCAGGGAGAGGGGGCGCGTGCGCACTGGCTGACCGGCGCCGAACCGGCAGCTGGCCGGGCCCACCGCGTCCCTGGGGCCCGCCGCGACCCAGCGCCCCGGCCGCCCTCCCGCTCACCGCGGCTCGCCGCGTCCTAGCACCCCTGCCACCTTTCCAGCCTCGCTTTTGTGCCCTCGCGACCCACGCTCAGCAGCCCCTACTCTCCGTGGCACCACACTGCGAGTACCACGACTGACCTCCATCCGCCGCACGCACTGTCCCCGGGTCCATGCGGCTCGGCGCGCTTGCTATGTCACTCGGAGCGCCACCGGAAGCGAGGCTCCTTGCACCCTGCCCAGCCGGAAGCCACGCCCACTGTCCCTTTCGGCCGGTGCCATCTTTACTGAGGGCACACGGAACGTGGTGGGAAGGGAAGTGAGAGATGGATGATGGGAAACTTAGAAAAGGTCTGAGGCCAGAGAGGAAGGCTAAAAGGCCTGGGTACCCTCCGGCCGGTATTCTGTCCTCACATGGAGTGCGAGAGCCGATCCTTTGTTAGTTGGTACTGTCCCCCGTACCCGTTGGTCCCACGTAGGCTATGTAGGAAAACTCGTGGGCCAGTGGAAGACTGGGCTGGTGGGGTCTGGGTAGGCGATGTCCGGGCTGGGAGGGCTGCTGAATGCAGACTGGGGAGTTCCGGAACGTAGGTTTGCAGCCCCAGTTCAAGGTCTCGAGGAGATGCAGGCAATTTGTCTGGACCTAGGAGTTTTTTTTTGAAGTCTAGAATTCTGGACTTTTATGAGCAATCTCCTGATTTTCAAATAGTGGTATTTAATTACAGAGTAAAGCGGCCGAGTAATCCAAACAAAACATATCTGAGGTCCGTATGTGGACTTCATTAATTTTACTTCCTGCACAGTTTTGTATGGAGTTAATAATTACCTTGGGGTTTTTTTTGTTTGTTTAAGATTCATGTATTTATCACAAATTCTACCCCAAAGCCTTCAGCAGCTGTCAGAAGACAAAATTATGACAAATTTAATTATTTATCTGTTAAAAGAAAAAACTTTAGATAAATTTAAGTTTAACGGAGTTTAATTGAGCAAAGAACCTTGAAAACATGCTAAATGAAAGAAGCCAGACACATGATGTCACATATTGTGTATTAATAGTTCCATTTGTATATGAAATGTCCAGAATAGGTGCATTCGTAGAGTCAGGGTAGATTAGTAGTTTTCAGGGAGTGGTGGTGGGGAGAATGGGGAATGACTTGGGTATAAGGTTTCTTTTTGGGGTGGTGAAAATGTTCTGGAATTAGACAGTAGTTATGGTTGCACAACACCGAATATACTAAAAGCCACTTGTGACACTGTGTGTGTGTGTGTGTGTGTGTGTGTGTGTGTGTACAAAGTATATATGTAATCTCTGCATAGAGGTTCTAAAACCCTTATAACTCTTGAGTGACAGGGCATCTTTTGTTATCATAACAGACCCATTTCAACCAAGCCAAAATTTATGCTAACAGGTGGCTTTTGGAGGGTGTGAGCTGGTTGTCAGAAGAACCAACCATGTGATTAGAGGGTTGGACCTTTCACCCCTACCTCTTGACCTCCAGGGACGGAAAGGGGCTGGAGATTGATTTAATTACTGTTGATCTAAAGGAAGAAATGAGGCAAAGTTAATATAAGTGAAGAGTTTATTTGGGCCAAAATAAGGATGGCTGCCAGGAAGACTCAAACTCAAGTAATGTAGGATAAGAGCTCCATTGGGCCTTTTTTTATAAGCAGGGTTTTAAAAGCAAAAGGGACAAAGTTGTTTGTCAGGAATTCTCATTGGTTTACAGAAATAACATTGATTAGTGATTGCCTATACATTCTTGAACTATAGGGTATGAGCTATGGTGTCCAGGGTGGGGCATTGTTAGGTTAATTTGCAGCTACCCTGGCAGTAGTGCGGAGTCCACAGAGCAAGGCAGCTTTAAGAGATGATTACTTAGCTCAAGAGGGAAAGTGGAATGTGACTACTGTCTTATTCTCACGCCTCTGTGGGCCTGATAACCTCAAGGAGGCTCACATGCAAGTTTCTTTTCCTTCTCATTACCAATGGCCAATGATTTAATCAAGCGTGCCTATGTAATTAACCTCCATATGTAGAGGACACCTTTGTCTGGGAAAGTTTCCTTGTTGCTTCTCTCAAGAATATGTCTGTGACCTTGCATGCAAGTCCAGAGCGTCCTCTCTCTGCAAACAGGAGGGGCTAGGGAATTGAGATGCAAACATCTGTTTGCTGGAGATGAAACAACAAGGAACTGGGACGTGTTGAGTCGGGATGGTGTGGGAACAAAGAACTTGCAGTGGGACAGTTGCCAAACAACCTGTATTATAAATAAACAGCTTCAGCGAAAGCTTTTTGCTGCAGCCTCATACTGTCTTGTGGTGTCTGTGTCTTTTTGTACGGGCTGCAGCCATGTGTCTGCGTCTTTATGTCTCTGTGTTCATTCCTCGGTCTGAAGTCGGGCCACGTCATCCATAAGTGATGGAGTTTGGAGAGCTTCAGAGTTGGTGAATACATTCACATGCTGGGAAGGTGGCACATCCCAAACTCAGTGGGAACAGAAGCTCTTCTACTTGGGATTCTTCCAGAAGTGTTGTGATTAGAGGAATAGTTTTCCTTAGGACCTTGCCCTAAAACCTCATAATCTAGATGTTCATCTGTAGCCTTTAAAATATACTTTATAATTAAACCGGTAAACTATACGGGTTCTGTAGGTTCTATGATCTTGTTACCAACATAGGCCCTTGGACTTTCTATGCAAGAGAAATGAGCAGAGGCAGAACGAGAGTCACCGGCAAGGCTTTATTGGGGCTTATGCTCAAAGGTAAGGGAGACAGCACAAAGGAAAAGTCCTCAGGCTGACTCCCTGAGGGGTGTTTAGGGATAGTTTTGAAGAGGCTTAGGTTGGAAGAGGGTGACGTTCAAGCATGTACAGGTGGAGGTTTTCTTGCACCTGTGTAGTTGTGGTCATGCTGCTTCTTGTGTAGCATGTCTCATTAGCATGTTAAATCTCCACTGGGCATGATTTTTAGCATTAAAATGAGATTGTAATGAGGGAATAGTCAGGGTAAGGTCAGTGTGGGGGTCCTTTTTGGCTTGAGGCAGTTAGGTCTAGAAAGGTCTCCTTTATTTGCAGCCAGGTTCCTTGTCAGCTGGTGTCGGCATCTTGCTTCAGTGGTCTTGGAAAACACTACTCAAGAGACAGATGGTTTGGTCCCCTCCTTATATGCGCATGGGCTGAATGACGTCATTTTTTTTTTCTTTTGCAGTTAATTAGGCTGGATCACACTGTCCTGTGTTGCCTCCCTTGGTCAGAAGTGTGGCTTGAGTCCTGTGCCTATACTGTCTCATTCTGAATGTTTGTCTCTTTCCAAAGTTCATATGTTGAAATCTAATCCCCAGTGTGTTGGTATTAAGGGGGAGGGGCTTAGGGGGTGATTAGGTCTTGAGGGTGGAACCCTCCTGAATGGGATTAGCACCTTTATAAAAGAGGCCTAAGGGAGCATGTCTGTCCTTTTCTAACCAAACTGAATTGGGTCTGTTTTATACAAAATGGAAAACCAAACACTGAAGCATTGGATTTTTGTAGAGAGAAAGGTTTATTATGAGGTGGCCAAGCAAGGAGACAGGAAATAGGCTCAAATCTGCTTTTCCAATCTGGGGTTTGGGACAAGTTTTATGGGTTAGGGAGGACAGGTTGGTATGTAGAAGCACACGGAGGGCAGGTTTTAACTGGAAGGACTTCACACAAGACTATTTATGGTAGGGCATGGGGAGAGATCCTATCACTGGATGTTCCCAGAGAATGGACCCCTGACTGTTGAAAGTGTTCCAGTGCTCACGTTGCAGCCGTGTCCCAATCTTTTAGTTTTGTGGGAAGGTGGTAGGGGTGAGACTTTAGTTCTGGGTGTTATTTGAGGTTGAAGTTTTCTGCGTATGCTCTGGCTACATAATGTGCAAATTCCTACTAGCTCTGTGCCTACAAAATAATTGGACATTCTGTTGTCAACAGAGTATGACCAGATAAGACTGGTCCAGTGGTTACATCTTTCTCCTGCTATGTGAGACAGGACACAGCAAGGAATCATCGTTTATAAATGATACTAGACACAGAATCTGCTGCTGTCTTGATTTTTGACTTTCCAGTCTCTAGAACTGTGAGCAATAAATTTCTGTTGTTTATAAACTACCCAGTTTATGGTATTTTGTTATAGCAGCCCAAATGGACTCAGACAATAGGTAAAGTGTTTTCTTGAGTTCTGTGAGCTGTTATAGCAAATTATTAAACCTAAAGAGGAGGTCATGGGAACCTTGGGTCTGTAGATATGCCCACTTCATAGGCTGAAGGGATAAGGACGTGTCCTCTCCCTCCCCGGCTTGTGACTCAGCCTCCTCCCAGGCTGAGCGCCCTGGCCTCCCTTCACTAACATCATCTTTTCTTTTGAAACTGTTTCTCAGCTAGGGTGACCCACCATCCTGCTTGCCCACGACCGTACTGGTTTTAGCACAGAAAGTCCTGCGTCCTTGGAAACCCTCAGCCTCAGGCAAACAAAGATGGCCGATCACCCTGTCCTCTCCTGCCCACTCACCTTCCCCTTAGCTTGACTCAAAGCACAGCTTTCAGGGAGCCCTGGTGTGCAGAAGGTGGCATGGCCTCTCTGGCATGGACACTCAGCCTCTGAAAGGAGCTGTTTTACTAGCTTGTAAAATCTGTCCAAGTAGAGTGTAAGCCAAGATGTGTGGGGGAAATAAACATGAAGACTTAAAGCAATGTTTTATATGGGAAAAAAATAAAAGGGACTGTTCTAAAATATCACGTATTATTTAATAATAGAAAGTTTGAGGTTCAGTAAGGCCTGTAGATCAGAATATGATTGCCATTGAAATGCTAGCTTATCACTCACAGTTCTGGAGAGAAGGGAACATGGGGACCACATGGGAAAACACTGGGGTTGGTCACAAGGCAGAGGGATGGGGGGAGTGGTGGGCAAGAGCCTTTACCTTGGTTTCTGGGGGAAGGAACAGGTGAAGCAGGACAAGCAGGTTTAGGATTGAGATGTTTGAATGATTTCAGGGCCCAGGGGCAGAGGGGCGGTCCCTCATTGTCTGGTACCTGGTCCTAGAGTGATTAGGACAGGTCCATAGTGGCCAGAGTGTGAGAGCCCCATAAAGGAGGTGGTTGGGGTGTGGGCTCTGGATTGGTCGGTTTGTATTTTAAAAGTGCCCCCTGCCCAGGAGGAGGACTCTTCCTGGGGTGTGGAA